TTTTTTTTTTTTTTTTTTTTTTTTTTTTTTTTTTGCAGTGGGTGTCAAATGGAGGGAAGTATAGGGACACGAGTTTTAGTACAGGCACGGAGATTGGAGGGGTTTTATCCTTGGTATCCCCTCATGAGGCTTCTCTCTCTGGCAATGGCCACGTGTTGGGGGACGACGTGGCGGGCATGGTCCCAACAGAATTGTCTTTTTTCTTTTTTCCTGTTGTAAAATTGTTTGTATCTATCTGGTGTCATGGCTTCATTCATTGAATTTGTATTGTGCGTTGGTCTATTTCATCATGAAATTAATAGATGCAGAGTCATAGTGCTTCAACTATGCTGACATAATTGGCTACCTTCTTCCCCCGAATACAGCGAACCCTCATTTTGACTGTATTGCGCCGGAAAGATAGTTGTATACATTCATTTTCAAGGTGCGTTATGTTCGGGGGAAGGCAGTAGGAGATGTCAAGCGGCACAAAAGATTCCACCGCTTATAGGAACCATTTCTTAGTGTTGCTTGTAAACCGGCTAAGGCCTTGCTCTCAGTCATACTTTTCTGAATGTATATGACCACTTTCACAGTCTAGGATGCAGGTATCTAACGGCACTTGAATTGAGAGATCGGTTGAAAATAGTCCTAGCGCGCGGGCGTATATGCCCTTAAACGACCAATTCACACGTCAAACTAAACATACGAAGCATGCATGATCCAAGCGCGAATCCGCCGTAATCATACGTGGTTAACGGGGACCACCAGTTTCAGCTCCTGACTAACATGTCCAAAACTGAAATTAGGGTTTGGGGGTCAAATATTATGGTTGGTTGTTGTTGTTGTTGTTGTTGTTGTTGTTGTTTTCGGTGCTTGTTTTGGTTGTTGTTGTTGTTGTTGTTGTTGTTGTTGTTGTTGTTGTTGTTGTTGTTTTCGGTGCTTGTTTTGGTTTGGTTCAAGGTTGTTGTGTGCCAAATTTTGTCTCATTTGGAGCGTTAGAATTTCCTCTGCAAAGATTTCTGAAAT